TATGAAAGCCGTGCTGGGGGCAGATCACTTGCTCATAGGGCCATTACTCAAGGGTACTAGTGGCCCGACATGCACAAGGATACTAAAGCCTACGTTAGAAAGTGCGAGAAGTGTTAAAGGTTTGCACCTTTGATACATCAATCAGCAGCAGATTTGAACCCAGTAACCAGCCCTTGGCCATTTGCCCAGTGGGGCATGGATCTAGTTGGACAACTGTCCCAAGTAACTGGGCAAAGGAAGTTTCTGCTGGTAACAACTGATTACTTTACAAAGTGGGTAGAAGTTGAAGCCCTTGCGAAGATTCGAGATTTTGATGTGAAGAACTTCATATGGAAGAACATCATCACTAAGTTTGGGATCCCAAGGGCAATAATAGCAGACAATGATACACAGTTTGACAGTAAGCTAATCAAAAGCTTTTGTACAAAGTACAAAATCAAGAACGACTACTCTACTCCAAATTTCCCTCAGAGTAATGGTTAAGCAGAAGCATCCAATAAGACTATCTTTGATGGGATAAAAAAGAGGCTGGAAGCAACAAAAGGAAAATGAGTGGAAGAGTTGCCCTATGTACTCTGGGCATATCAGACTATGCCGAGAAGATCAACTGGGGAGTCTCCATTTGCCATGGCTTATGGCACTGAAGCAGTTATCCCACTAGAAGTCGGCATTAGCATTCCAGGGATCAGAACCCAGGGAGTGGAAAATGGTACTAATGAAGCATTTTTAGCCCGAGATTTAGACCTACTGGAGGAGAAAAGAGAGAGAGCAACAATTCGGCTGGGGGCATACCAGCAACAACTTGCTAGGGCTTACAACAAAAAGGTCAACCCAAGAGAGTTTAAAGTGGGGGACTTTGTGCTGAGGAAAGTAGTCAACAACAAAAAGAATCCTAGGGAGGGCAAGCTTGGCCCAAATTGGGAAGGGCCTTATAGAATCATCTCGGTCGCCGGCAATGGGGCATATCGGCTTGCGGACAGTGATGGCAAAGAGTTGTTAAGACCCTGGAACACTTGTAACTTGAAGTTTTTCTATCATTAGATTTTTGGTTTTCAAAGTTTATGTCATTAGCCGAAGTAATAAAAAAATTTTAGTTTGATTTTTATGAATTTGAAGTTTATGTCATGTTTCTAAATGAAACATGACGAATAACTTAGACTTATTATATGACAGATTTGAATTATACTTGCATCTAATAGAGTTGAACTAAGTTGGCGATATTTCTGAATGAAACATGATGAATAACTTGGACTTATTTTATGGCAAAGATGAATTATACTTGCATATAATAGAGTTGAACTAAGTTAGCGATATTTTTGAATGAAACATGACGAATAACTTAAGACTTATTATATGGTAGAGATGAATTATGCTTGCATATAATAAAGTTGAACTAAGTTGGCAATGTTTTTGAATGAAACATGACGAATAACTTAGACTCATTATATGGCAGAGTTGAATTATACTTGCATATAATGGAGTTGAACTAAGTTGAATTAACTTGGACTTGCCATATCGGCAGACTCAAACTTAGAATGGAACTAAGTTCATTAATAGAGAAACCACGGTTGAAACACCTCGGGAAGTCTTTGCTTGAATCTGACTTCGGTGAAAGACCATAGACACATGCTTAATGTGAACTTAAGTGGAACTTAGGTTCACATTAGGGGGCAGGGAGTAGGAATGATAAATAAACTTAAGAGCTTGGGACTTGTTGAAAATTTCAAAAAAATTTACAAGTTAAAATGGGCTTAACACTTGTTGAAAATTCGGAGAAATTTACAAGTTAGAGTTAGCCGAGGTAATTATGAATAAAGTATCTGAGATATATATTACCCGAGGTGACCAACCAGGTTGTCCAAACTTGGAAAGGGTGAAGTCTGAATAGAAGATAGCATATGGAGGTAAAAAAGCAATACTGAATAACGCTTGTAAAAATATTTTGATATTTTTAAAGTGTTAGCCGAGGTATGTCAGTGGTTAGCCGAGGAAAACAGTCAAGGTTTATGTCCGAGGTAATATATCCTGGAGTTATTATACAATTAAGGTATACTTTGAAGAAATGCAAAAATATTCTAAGTATAAAAGGCATGAAGGAAAGCAGTAGACATGTATGAAAAGAACATTCAACACTTAGCCAAAGGAAAGCATGCATTCAAAGAAGAAACTTGTTCAAAGACAATGCAAAAGGGCACTTCGGCCAAGATTAAGAGATTACTTATTCAGTTATAGTGGTGGCACTTCGGCCTAAATAAAGCAGAAATTGTTCAAAAGTAAGAAGAAAAGCTACAAAAAAATCCTAAGTTTATGCATCTCCAACATTTTTCATAGTCTGCCTTGCATCGGCAATTGGTGTTGTGTCAACCTCGGTAGGCCGTTGGGCAGACCTTTCAACTTGAACCTTGGCGTCGATCTCACGCAGGGTATCATCTAGGCTCTTATTGGCAGTCTAGACCTTGGTGTCGGAAGTGGTCTTCTGAACCTTATCCTCTTCATCTTGAGTCAAGTCTAGGACTTGCTCATTCAGAGTTGGGATTTGGCCCCAGCAAAACCTTCGGCACTGGTTTCGACCTCGGTCTCTTCATCTCCCATAGCCTCATCCTTAGATTGGCTTGGAGCGGGAGGGAATGGCATGACAAGTCGGCTTTCGTCCTAGAGGGGCGAGTCGTTAGGGACAGCCAACTCCTTCAAAACAGCCATCCAACTAAAGGTGTAACCCTTGTTGCATGCCTATTTGACTTGCTTTGTATATTCGTCATGGACGTCGGCTGCCCCTTCAGCATAGGCCTTCTCATTCGTCTCTTTGATCTCGGTCACCTTGGTGGCAAGCGCCGCTTGCAGTTCTACTTGGGCTTGGGCCTCTTTTTCTTTGGCTTCTTTTGCCTCGGACTGAGCAACCTCGGTAACATTTTCTACAGCCTTGGCGCGGTCTTTGGCTTTCTTTAGGGCCGACTTAGTAGCCTTGGCCTGATCTAGAAGACCTCAGATACGAGCCTCGGCTTTGTTTAGTGAAGTCAAGAGTTTGGCTGCCTCCTTTGTTTTTTGGGTCAGTTCTTTCTTGAACTGATCAGTCTTGACTGCAAGGGAATGACCCTGTTGGATAGCCTGCAAGAATGCGAAGAAAATTCGTTAAGTATGAAAACCAGAGTTGAAATTAAACTAAAAGTTACAAGTGTTGGCACTTACCAAGACACAATATTGCATCATCATCGCGTAGTTTTCATACTCGAAAAGCTTAGCCATCTAATTGATGTTGGCAGGGAGTAGAACAGCGGTGGAAATAGCGGCACCGATTTCCAAACTATCGAGCGCGTTGTCCCTAGCTAGAAGAGGTCGGTCTCCGACAGTGACAGATGGAGACCAGGGAGCGTCGACGCGGAAACCAAAGGGTTCAAAAGACCCATTGGACCTCGGCTTTTTGGATTGCGGTGGGTCAGATGCCTCGGCCTCGGCAGGCCTCTTTCTGGCAGACACAGACTTCTCTGTTACAGCCAATTTTTGAAATTGGCACTGTGTCCTCTGATTCCACCTTGGTGGCATTGGGTTTTGGCTTTAGCCCTTTTAACTCTTTTTGCCTTGGGTTTTTGCTGAGATTGAGAAGGAAAGGAGGAGTGGACTAACACCACGCCTAGGATGTCGGCAAGAAGGTCGTTCGGGATGATTTTTGCAAGGCCCATTTGTTCAACGGTAGCAGTAACGGTAACTTTAGCACCGAAGCAGATTATTGGAAGTGCAGTAGGTGGGTTTGCTGGATCGTAAGCCGACGCCTCAGAGTTTTGGCATTTACGACTATGAGTTCTATCTACTGGTACGTTTGATGGAGCTCAGCGTCAGTGCTGATGCTGAGCTAAAGGAATCAACTGAGGGGCAAAAGTGGATGGCTAGTTAATTGGGTCAGAAGTGGAGGGCTAGTTAATTGGGTCAGAAGTGGAGGCCTGATCTGGCCTTGGGGATGAGGCTGTTGAAGGAGTTGATGAAGAAGGTGGAGTTTTGCTCTTTTTAGGGACGTCGGGCAAAGGACTCTTATACGTGGGGATGAAGTTGAGAAGGATTGGAGCCTTACGAACTTCAATTGCTAAGCCAAGAAGACGCACCAGATCCTTGCTTGGCATGTAGTACTGACGAAAGTCCTTTTCAAGCTGAGGAAGGGCTACAAAAACACAAAGAGGACACTAGAAACAAAAAGATAAATCAGTAAGGCAACAGTGACCGGGACTTTGGGAGGGGACTAGATCTTTACACTTGTCATCCCTAAAAACTTCGCGGTGTAGGGGGAAGAGGTGGAGTTCGTCATCTGGTGTGAACTCATAATTGCTTGAGACAATTAGGTAGTTGTCTGCTGTACCCTTATTAGAATCTGGAATGTCGGCTATCAGCTTGTATTGTGTAGATCTCGGCTTGAGGTAGTAGGTGTAGCCCTTGGGAGTTTTTAAACTGCACATGGTGTAGCAATACTGGATGTCACTAGGGGTGATTCTGGCATTTTGCCGACGTGCCAGTTCGGCAATGCCATTGATGATCCTAAAAGAATTAACAGCCAGCTGCATGGGATTGAGTTTATAGTAGTGGAGGACTTCCCTAAAGAGGATTTCTAGGGGAAACCTAACTCCTCCTTTAACAATGAAAACAACTGGGAATGGCATGTAATGCTGGCCAGGCATAATTGAGTCGTTCTTCCAAGCCAATCTCAGGTGGACATCGACTAGGATAGAAAACTATTTCCTGAAGTGCTCTAGCTTGGCAGGGGTGTCTACTCTCCACCTAAACATACCCATGATATCAGCTTAAGGTGTCTAGTGGAAGATTTCAAGAGAAAGGTTGAGGAAACCTTGGCTGAACCCTAAACAGGTATTAGGGACAAGGGTTTTGAAAATTGAAGGAGGGGTTTGTTTCATTTTCTCCTAAGTATGTGATTTCTAGCAATTCCCAAACCTAGAACTATAGAGACAAGAATCAAAGACCAAAGATCTGAAAACAATCAAAAGGAACAAGAAAATAAAATGATTCAGAGTCAAGAAGCATCAAAGGCAGACAAAATCCAAGAACATGAAGAATTACAAATGCTGTGTGAGTGTGTGAAAGCGACGTATACAAATCGCAAGCAAATGCAATAATGAAGCTCAACGTACAACAAAAGTACAAAGATGACTCACAGTAAACAAACTTGAAAGATGGAAACAAGACACAAACATAGATACAAGGCAACAATAGACAATGTGGACAAATGGTAGGTTCGAAACAAATAAAGAGAATTGTAAAAGACTGAAATTAGAAAGAGAAATTTAAGACTTATCGAATCGGGCCGAAAACGAGGACGCTGAAGTAAGGTTTGCCGGAGTCAGATGGACGTGAAGGATTCACCAGAGGTGTGAAACGAAGCACAGTTGCAGAAAGCTTTGAAGGTATGAAAAGGGAGGTTTTTCGTAGAGAGAGAGAGAGAGAGAGAGAGAGAGAGAGAGAGAGCTTGAGACAAAGAGGGAAATCAAAGTTATGAAGTGAGAAGAAGAAGAGAAAGAAAGAGGGTTTTTATTAAAAACTGAAAAGGCGGCAAAAGGAAATGAATACGCCTCGGATGACGCGTCTGTCAGGCAGTGTACGCAGAAGCGACGCGACCTGATGGCGCGTGTCACGTACGAACCAATGAGAGAAGGATGCGTGGTGGAAACGGTTGGGAAAACCGTGCGTGACAGCTCATGCGCAGATAAAAACTCTTGGAGTTCTTGATTTAATGAAGCAAAAACCTCGGCTAGAGGAACGATCTCAGTTAAGATACTTAAAGAACTTGGTTCTTGGTTCTTGATCCCTGATAAAAATGGATAATTAAGTGCTAAGTACTTGAGGCCGACGAGTAATGATCTCGGTCGATGGGACAGAATGAATTTTTGCTGACATTGTATTTGAACAAACGATGTAGGTTCCATCACCTCAGATTGCCGAGGTAATAGAACCTAGGGGGCAGTTATGGGGAAGTATTTTGTGAATGACAGTATGTGGCTAAGGTGGCACCGGAGTGTCAGTCAAGGTGCCACGTGGCTTGGCCATATTGCCGAGATGATCTCGGCAAGGCCGAGGTTATCTGCGGAGATACCGGAATCCGAGATATTTGGATAAGGGACAAGAGTCCTAGAACAAGGGAGGGTCTCAATTGGGATAAGGATAAGGTTCAAGGGGAGTTTATCCCTATCTAGCCGAGAGTCCAGGATGAGCATTGAGCTCGAGTCCACCGAAGCAAGGCTTCTACAAGGATCAGGTCGATGCTGGATATAAAAGTAGGGCGCCCCTGTAGGTCTCAAGTATATGTGGTATACTGTGAGCAGTAAGTTCTTTCTTGTGAGTTTAAGCACAAATTGTTATCTTTGAGAGATATTGATTACTGACTTGATCATCAGAGTGCCCCCAGGTGGACGAATCACTGCCGGATTCTCATCTTCTTTTGTAGGTTGTTGGGCTTAGTCTATTCTGCCAGGCTCTTCAGCTAAGTTCCCCATTTGGTTGTGTGGTTGGAAATCAACACCCACAGTTCCTTTTATTGATTAGTAAATATCATTAGACCCTTAACTTGTAAATATTGATTATTCTAATTTGAAAAATAGTATAAATACCTCCTTTTAGAGGTAGTCTGAAAGGGGTGAATGAGTTAATATAGATGAAGGAGTAAGGTAATATTTAATAATAGTAGACGAACTCTTGATGTAATTAACTTTTAATAATTTTCTACTATTGTCATAATTTAAAATTGATAGCAATTTTCTTGGGATTCAAGATTCGTAACAAATTAGTACAACATACGTAGGCAACAATAGGAGGGTACAAGGAAGTTTCTTTGGGGCTCGATGGAGAGGACTGTAAATAGGCAACCTAGCTTATTGTGAAAATCAAACATATCAAATTTTAAAGAGCTCCTCTTATATATTCCTAATCCAATCATTTGATTATTGTGCGAAATAAACACAAAAATATTATTCTGTTTTATAAAATTAGTTTTGAAAATGGAGGCGGTAGTAGCACAATCTCCAAGTCAAATCTAGGCCCCAACTAATGGAAACTTGATAACTATTCTTAGCATTGATGGAGGTGGCATTCGAGGAATCATTCATACCACTATCCTCACTTACCTTGAATCCCAGCTTCAAGTATTAACTCTTTTTAATTTTTAATTTTTTTTAAAGGTTGTGTACATATGGTATGAACTATGAGAGTTGCAATGTTACATAATATATATTAGCAGTGGGCGCACACACAATGTGTGTGAAACTATATATAATTGAAATGTATGTTGATTCGTGGTATGATCCATATATCCCCACTAACGTTCAAATATATTGCACAAATTTAAATTTTAGACAAATTTTAAAATATTTTTCTTTACGTACATAGCATGGTTGTTAGGAGAGAAAATAATGATTGAATGAAAAAATTTAGAGAATTTACATGTTAGTGTATATTTAGAAAAATACTTACAAATTGATGATAAAATTTAAAATTATTAAAGTATAAAGTGATAAACTTTATCACCGATCATTAATTAATTTTTACAGAATTCACTAAGCAATAGTTTTCCAAATTTTTTTTTTCTAGCATGCGAATTTAATCAGTTCAGTACTAAATCAGTGAATTCGCATCATTATATTTATCAACTATCCAAAGTGACTTAATATACTAATAATTTTTTGTTTATTGATTTCATGATTTTACTAGGTATATTTTGTACAAGTTAATTTTGTATTCAAGTGTTTTAGTATCTAAATCCCCAATAGTATGTACCTATAATAATAATTGTGTTAATGTACATAAAAGAGGAAAAGGCACTACAAGAAATATGGGTTTTGGCGGTGTTTTTTTAACGACACTTTTTAAAATGTCACTTTTCTTAATATTTAGCGACGTTTTAAAAACGTCGCATATTTCTTTAATTAAAACGATGCCATTTTGTAATAGAAGGCGTTGAGAAGCGCCTCCAAATGCGTTAGACCTCACGCGCCTCTTTTGAATCTGCGAATAATTGTTAAAGCCTAATATATGTAAACCCTTATTTTGAATCCTCACGGCTTCAAATCTCGTCTCTCTTGCAATCCTCTCTAACCCCTTATCATTCTCACGATGTTGCTCCAGAGCGGTGTCTCTCTCTCTTTAGATATCTCTCTCTTTGTCAACCCTCTGTCAACCCTCTCAGAGATTCATCTTTGAGATTCAGAGATTCAGATCGGTCTTAGTGATTTCATCTCAGAGCGATTTCAATTTCGAAGCTCCAGAGCAGTGTCTTTCTCTCTCTGTCAACCCTCTCAGAGATTCATCTTTGAGATTTAGAGATTCAGATCGGTCTCAGTGATTTCATCTCAGAGCGATTTCGATTTCGAAGCTCCAGAGCGGTGTCTCTCTCTCTCTCTCTCTGTCAACCCTCTCACAGATTCGTCTTTGAGATTCAGATCGGTCTCAGTGATTTCATCTCAGAGCGATTTTGATTTTGAAGCTCTAGAGTAGTGTCTCTCTCTCTCTGTCAACCCTCTCAGAGTTTCATCTTTGAGATTCAGAGATTCAGATCGGTCTTAGTGATTTGATCTCAGAGCGATTTCAATTTCGAAGCTCCAGAGCAGTGTCTTTCTCTCTCTGTCAACCCTCTCAGAGATTCATCTTTGAGATTTAAGCGGTTCTCTCTCTCTGTCAACCCTCTCAGAGATTCATCTTTGAGATTCAAAGATTCAGATCAGTCTCAGTGATTTCATCTTAGAGCGATTTCGATTTTGAAGTTCTCTCTCTTGATTTCGAAGCTCCAGCAAGGTATCGATTTCTCTCTCTCTCTCTCTCTCTCTTTCTCTCTCTCTCTCGCTCTTGCTTCCCGTCTCTCTCGATTTGGTATTTATTTGCTTGGAAAACCTGTTCAATTTCTTCTTTTGTTTGCTTTGTCATTCTTCCTTAATATGTTGTGTTTTTGTTTTGAGAAAACGCCAAATGTGCTTGTGATTATGACATTTGTTGGATTTGAGATCCATTACACTCGTGTATGGTCAAAATCTGGCCGATAACTTAGCCAAACTGTGGGAATTTGTTGCGGGAAGATTAGATTTCTGATAACTAGTTGAATTTCAGTTGTGCAGTTAGCATTATTAAACTGAATTTATCTTCTTACTGAGTCAATGGCCTGTTCTGAATAATCTTTTTTGACTCATTCTGTAGTTTGTTATCATTTTCATTTTTCATTTTGCATTAATTTGCCTACTTTAATTTCTGGACTTTTACTAGTAAATGCAAAAAATCATCTACCACTCTTTCAAATACTGTTGACATCTCAACTCTACAAATAGAAATAGAACAAACACAGGTATTGCATACTACATACTTATCAAGTGTGCAACTCATCCCATTGCCTAGTTTAATTGAAGTACTTGAGGAATTGGATTTAACAATGCAACTGGAGGCCTTTAAACAATGAATGTTTTATATCAGAATAACTCATAAAATAATCATTATTCAGAACGGATGGAGGAGTGAGCTAGGGTTGAAATGTCCTCATATTAGAATGACTGATGGGAATTTATTTTGGTTTTGTAGCGTTTTCCTCCCTAGTTAAGACAAAAAGAAAGTTTGTTTTTCATGAATTACTCTACTTCTATTTTTTATTTTTTTATTTATTTTATTTAAGTTAAATTGAGTGTTGGATTTGGATGACAATAGAGTGGGAATAGAAATTCCAAAGATTGACGTGAGGTTTCAGAATTTATCAGTGGCAGGAGATGCCTATGTTGAGTCTAGAGCTTTTCCAACTCTCCTCAATTCCACCATGAATGCTATTGAGGTACTACTACTTTCCTCTTCTATTTCTCACACTCATTTTTGTTTGTTTGTTTGTTTTCGCCCTGAATTCAGTCAGATTCACACTTTGTTCAACTTCAAGATGCAATTCAAATTACGCTTTGATGTCTTGTGAATTTTGAAATGGTTGTTTGGGTAAAAGAAAAAAAGCAGAGAGTTTTGTTCTTAGTTTATAATTTCACAGAAATTATCACTAAAAGTACATGTAAAATTCAAATATCTGTTGTGTGGATTGAAAACTATACAGAAAATTTGCTTATTTTCTCTTAAAAAACTTTCTGCGAGTAGTGTATCATCTTAAATTTAATAATGTGACATCTGAAGATTGTTCTCTTTATGTTGAATTGTAATGCGAGTAGGGAATCATTGGAATGGTTGGGCTTTCTCGATCTAAGAAAAGGGTTATCAAGATACTTCACGATGTGAATGAAAAGATTTTTCACTAAACAAGTTTCTATGCTTTCAAGAAAATGAAAATAGAAAACAAAAAACTAAAACACAACCAACTAGGCATTTTCTCAAATATTCTTCAGTCATTAAACGATTATTTTTTTGTTTGTCAGGATGACACTACTTCTTGGGCCACCTGGCTCCGGAAAGACGACATTGCTAAAGGCACTCGCAGGGAAATCTGATGACAATCTAAAGGCTTGTCATGCTCTCTAAATTCTCCCATTTGTTTCTCTCCCCAATTTTCTGTTTCATCCCATGTATTCATTTCTGTTCCTACATGGTATTTTTTTCAACATATTGATAGTTTGATTATATTGGGATTGTGGACAGATATCTGGAAAAGTCACCTACTGTGGCAGAGAGTTTAAGGAATTTGTTCCTCAGAGAACGAGTGCTTATATCAGCCAGCACGATCTTCACTATGGTGAAATGACTGTTCGCGAGACATTAGATTTCTCGGGACGTTGCTTGGGAGTTGGAACGAGGTATGAAATGCTGGTAGAGTTGTCAAGACGAGAGAAAGAAGCAGGTATTAAGCCCGACCCTGAGATCGATGCATTCATGAAAGCCACAGCTGTGTCTGGCCAAGAAACCAGTTTGATTACAGATTATGTTCTCAAGGTCTGTTGCTTCCATAATATCACTGTCAAGCTTGCATACTATGTTCTCTTATTTGACAATGCTAAAATCTTATCATCCTTTTAACAGATACTTGGATTGGATATTTGTGCTGATATTCTGGTGGGTAATGACATGAGAAGAGGCGTTTCTGGTGGACAAAAGAAGCGTGTCACTACCGGTATGTGTAAACTCAATAAAGAGTTTTGAGAAATGTTATAGAAAGAAATTCATGGATGGATATTGATCCTTGCCATTTCCTAGACGGGATGATAAGGTTGCAACTCGACTTCAAAATCTAAAAGCAACGGTCTATGACTACTACACCATTATTAGTTCTAAAATTTTCTTATCCATTTTGAATTTAAAATAAAGAAACCAAGATTAATCATGAAATCAAGATTGATCATGAATCTAAAAGCACGTCGTGGTTAATCTTTCACAACCATTGATCATGAAATCAAGATTTTAAACCCAAAGTGGGCTATGTGTGTTGTGGTAGCAATAACAAAAAAGTTTCATAATTTTTTCCTCAAGAGGGCAGAAATCATCCTTCTGTGTATTTTATAATATTCTAACTGGAACTTCAGGATATGTATCTTGTGGTTTAGGTCAAACTAATCCTATTATATTCACCCAAAAAAGCTCATCCTACTATGTTTTTACTTCATAACTATTTTCTGAATGTTCTGTCGTGAATGCAGGAGAAATGTTGGTTGGACCAGCAAAAGCATTTTTCATGGATGAAATATCGACAGGGCTGGACAGTTCCACCACTTTTCAGATTGTTAAGTTCATGAGGCAAATGGTTCATACAATGGATGTGACCATGGTCATCTCACTGTTGCAGCCAGCGCCTGAGACATTTAATCTCTTTGATGACGTTATTCTACTTTCAGAAGGCCAGATTGTGTATCAAGGTCCACGCGAGAATGTTCTTGAGTTCTTTGAATATATGGGATTCAAATGCCCTGAAAGGAAAGGAATTGCAGATTTTCTCCAAGAAGTAACTTCCAAGAAAGACCAAGAACAATATTGGTTCAAAAAGAACCAACCTTACAGATATGTCTCGGTGAATGACTTTGCGCAGGCCTTCAACTCTTTCCACATTGGGCAAAAGATGTCTGAAGACCTTAGAATTCCTTATGACAAGTCCAAAGCCCATCCTGCTGCGTTGGTGACAGAAAGTTATGGCATTTCCAATCTGGAACTCTTCAAGGCATGTTTCTCGAGGGAGTGGCTACTGATGAAGCGCAACTCTTTCGTATACATATTCAAAACTACTCAGATAACAATCATGGCCACAATTGCAATGACAGTTTTCTTAAGAACAGAGATGAAAACTGGAACAGTAGAAGGTGCTTCGAAGTATTTGGGAGCATTGTTTTTCAGTCTTATTAATATAATGTTCAATGGGATGGCGGAGCTTGCAATGACAGTTTTCAGGCTTCCCGTGTTCTTTAAACAGAGGGATAGCTTGTTTTTCCCTGCATGGGCTTTTAGCTTGCCAATTTGGCTCCTCCGAATTCCCGTTTCATTCATGGAATCTGCGATATGGATCGTACTTACCTATTACACAATTGGGTTTGCACCATCTTTTACTAGGTAAGTTGAAGTTCTTTTACAATAGCTTAAGATTTGTTTTATTGGCTTGACAATCACTGGACTTCGAAAGCTAATTATCTTTTTTTTTGACGTATCTTCAAAATGTTCAGGTTTCTCAAACAGTTTCTGGCCTTCTTCAGTGTACATCAGACGGCTCTCTCTCTCTTCCGCTTCCT